TGATCTTTGAGTTAGTTCTTTTATTATTTACTGACTTATATTGCTCTCTAACTCTTTGAAATTTCTGTCTTTTCTCCTCAGCTAGGTTGTAAACTCCTTGAAGACAAAATTAACCCCAAAAAACAAAAATCAAAAAAAAACAGGTCATAAACTTCTCAGAGTTACTGTCATAGTATCAAGCATAGTACTCAGTAAAGGCCTCCTAATGGCGGGACTAGATTGGTTCTAACCCTTCCCAAGGTCTTCACACTGCCCCTCCAGTGTCAGCTGCCTTTGTTGTACCTGCTCTTAGCTCTGACTCTTTCCTGACAGGGGCCCTCTGTTTGAGCTGACCACCGTACACACACACACACACACACACACACACACACACACACTCACACTTACTAACTAACCTGGGCATTAAAATAATAATCTTTCTGTTATCATTTTTCATGAGACTCTAAGACATTAGGTACTCACTACTCTACATTGAAAAATGTGATGCTGGATGATTTATGAAGAACTAGTAAAGGAAGTGGGAAATAAACTAGTTTTGTGATCTTTTTCTCAAAAACACGAAGTCAAGGGTTGAAACAGACCAGGAAATTAGGAAGAAAATTTCTTTTCAGAGTCATTGACATGCAGAGGCATGACTTTCTTCTGATGGTGGAGGACTAAGCGCCTTCTCTTTTTCTCACACCAGTGAGAGGTGTCTGAGGAGGATTCCTTAGAGAGCTTAATTTAGGATCTCTCTCTTCAAGGGGGAAAATAGGACTGATATGTAACTCATGATGAAGGAAGTGAAAGGAGCAAGTTTGTGATTAGAGCTGCTTGTCCAGTGGCATAGGAGAGAGAAGTGTTTTCATTGGGAGTCAGAAGCACCTTCACTGGTATGGGTCACTTCCCATGGCGGCCCATTTGTGGGGTAGGTTTTAAATGAAAACGTGCCCAGGTATGTGCCCACAAAGAACTTGCTGATTGTTTCTTTGGCTGAGAAGAAGCTTTTTAGTTTGAATCCATCCCATTTATTGATTCTTGATATTAATTCTTGCACTATAGGAGTCTTATTAAGGAAGTTGGGGCTTAATCCGACATGATGGAGATTTGGGCCTACTTTTTCTTCTAATAGACACAATGTCTCTGGTTTAATTCCTAGGCCCTTGATCCACTTTGAGTTGAGTTTTGTGCATGCTGTACAACCAGATATATGAAAAATTGTGCTCTATATGTGTAATATGAATTGTAATGCATTCTGCTGTCATAACAAATTAAAATTTACAAAAGGAAAAAAAGAAGAACAATAGGGCTAAATATGGAGGCAGAGAAGAGCTACTGTTTTCCACAGGCACATCACCTCCAAGCCCTTGAATGTAGTCACCTACCCAGAAACTCTGATTGAAGAGGTGGTGTAATTTAGGAGGTGTGGGTGTGTGTGTGTTTGTGGTATGGGATATTGAAATCAGGGTTGCTCAACTACTGAGCTACATCTCCAACCTCTTTTTAAAATTTTATTTTGAGACAGGGTCTTGCTAAGTTTCCTGGGGTCTCACTAAGTGGCCTTGAACTTGGGATCACCTGGCCTCAGTTTCCTGAGTTGGCTTGGAATTAAAGGTGTGTGCCAAAACACCTCACCTGATTTAGGAGTTTTTGCTGAAGTTTCATTACATAGTCATGATTGATTAAATGATTGGCCATTGGTGATTGAACTTGACCTCCAGTTCTCCCCTCCCTGGAGGTTGTGGTGGTAGGAGAAGTGCTGAAAAAAAAAACAAAAACAAAAAAAACAACAACAACAAAAATAAAAAAACATGCCAAAACCCAAAAAGTCAAAACTTGTTCTTTCCTTACCAATGGGGCTTGTTGCATGTAACCAAAGATTCTTCTGTAACTCTGGAAATTCCAAAGACCTAAAGAGAGCTGAGTACCAGGAACCAGGGGGCAAAGAACCAGTATTTCTACTACATCCTACCCACAAAACCTCCATTTCCACAGGAGTTTTACAGCTTGAAGCAGGACTGGGCTATAGGAGAGAGGACCCTAGAAATAAAAATTGCAGTTCCAATTGTTCAGTTAATGAACATTTTAATTACTGAAATGACATTGTTCTTATATCTAGAATGACTGGAGGGCTTTTTATTATTAAAAATGAACTAGAAACAGGTGTGGCTCCTGTTGACATATCATGCCAGGAGTTAGAGAGTAACTTTGTATGATCAGGAAAAAGAGAAAGAAGAAAGCTGTTGGATAAAACTGTTGTTCAAAACTGGAAATCCATATGCAACAAAATGAAACTGAATCCCTTTCTCTCGCCATGCACAAAAGTTAATTCAAAATGGATCAAGGAGCTTCATATCAAATCAGAGACACGCCGTCTGATAGAAGAAAAAGTTGGCTACGATCTACATACTGTGGGGTCGGGCTCCAAATTCCTCAATAGGACACCCATAGCACAAAAGTTAATAACTAGAATCAACAAATGGGACTTACTCAAACTAAAAAGTTTTTTCTCAGCAAAAGATACAATAAGAGAGGTAAATAGAGAGCCTACATCCTGGGAACAAATCTTTACTCCTCACACTTCAGATAGAGCCCTAATATCCAGAGTATACAAAGAACTCAAAAAATTAGACAATAAGAGAACAAACAACCCAATCAACAAATGGGCCAAGGACCTGAACAGACACTTCTCAGAGGAGGACATACAATCAATCAACAAGTACATGAAAAAATGCTCACCATCTCTAGCAGTCAGAGAAATGCAAATCAAAACCACCCTAAGATACCATCTCACTCCAGTTAGATTGGCAGCCATTATGAAGTCAAACAACAACAAGTGCTGGCGAGGATGTGGGGAAAAGGGTACACTTGTACATTGCTGGTGGGACTGCAAATTGGTGCAGCCAATTTGGAAAGCAGTATGGAGATTTCTTGGAAAGCTGGGAATGGAGCCACCATTTGACCCAGCTATTCCCCTTCTCGGTCTATTCCCTAAAGACCTAAAAAGAGCATGCTACAGGGACACTGCTACATCGATGTTCATAGCAGCACAATTCACAATAGCTAGACTGTGGAACCAACCTAGATGCCCTTCAATGGATGAATGGATAAAAAAAATGTGGCATTTATACACAATGGAGTATTACTCTGCATTAAAAAATGACAAAATCATAGAATTTACAGGGAAATGGATGGCATTAGAGCAGATTATGCTAAGTGAAGCTAGCCAATCCCTAAAAAACAAATGCCAAATGTCTTCTTTGATATAAGGAGAGTAACTAAGAACAGAGTAGGGTCGAAGAGCATGAGAAGAAGATTAACATTAAACAGGGATGAGAGGTGGGAGGGAAAGGGAGAGAGAAGGGAAAATGCATGGAAATGGAAGGAGACCCTCAGAGTTATACAAAAGTACATACAAGAGGAAGTGAGGGGAAGGGGAAAAATAATACAAGGGGGACAAACGAATGTCAGTAGAGGGGGCAGAGAGAGAAGAGGGGAGGGGAGGGGAGGGGAGGGGTGATAGTAGAGGATAGGAAAGGCAGCAGAATACAACAGACACTAGTATGGCAATATGTAAATCAATGGATGTGTAACTGATGTGATTCTGCAATCTGTATATGGGGTAAAAATGGGAGCTCATAACCCACTTGAATCAAATTGTGAAATATGATATATCAAGAACTATGTAATGTTTTGAACAGCCAACAATAAAAAATTAAAAAAAAAAAACTGTTGTTCGTTGCAGGTTTTGAAGTACCTCTGTTTCAGCAGGAGAGCTATATTTGTTGATTCTGTGCAAGCAGGGTGGGTGCACACACACCTTAGACTTCTCCATGACACACACCAAAGCAACAGAAGTTGTAGTCAATGCCTATGAACACATCAGGTGGAACGTAGCTGCAAGTTGTATTCAACTCCTCCAAGAAATCTTTCTCAACCGGCCACAATCCAAACAGTTCTCCTTAGAACTTCTTTAGTTCCTATTTTTAAAAACCATGTAAAGTAACACTTACATACATGGGCCAACCAATTGTCTCAATTGTTTTTTTTTTTTTTTTATCCTTTTCTCTATCTCTCTCCAAGAAACTATGTTTTTTTTTTTGTATATATATATATATATATATATAATCATTACCATTATAATGTACTTGACTATGGTTGAGATAGATACAAACCTTATGGCCACATCTGTTAAGTGAATTGAATAAATATACAGTTTGGTCTAAAATCTAAAATGAAATTATTCTTTCTTCTATAGGACATGTTAGCCAGCTTGAATCAACTTTCCTGTGTTCTGGTTGGCCAATGAACTGTTGAACAGGGTGCTAATGAAATAACTAAGTTTCATGTCATCTTTTATTTGTTCATGAAATTTAAAATTCCATAGTAACCAGTGAGTGTGGTTTAGTGTGTGACATTAATCCTCTTCAGGCATGTACTGGGAGATACCTTTGGTCAACACGCATGCTACTTACTCTGACGTTTGCTTTATCTCATGATCATCAATGAGCTTCGGTCCTTGAGTTACTGACTTTCAGATTTTTGAGAACAAAATTTTCTGTAGACCTAGGAGAGTTTCCCAGGCAGCAGGAAGAATATTCTGAGAACATCTCTCTCAAAATTGCTTCAGTTATGGGCAGGGCAAGTAATTCTTCAGGATCCTAGCTGCATTATTAGCACCTCGTTTTCACTGAAGATGGTAAAGGAAGGTAGTTTGCTTTTATTAATAGGCCTATCTACCATGAGACAGATCAAAGAAATTAAGTTCTCCAGGGAGCCTAGCAGGACTGGAATCTGTTAATCACTTCCCTCCCTCCCCCGCACCTTTCTTTCTTTCTCCTGGCTTGATTTTAAACTCCTGGGCTCAAGGGATGCTCCTGCCTCAGCCTTCCAAGTAGCTGTGACTACACATGCATGTTACTGTACCCAGCCATGAGCTATGAATTCTTGATGTTTCTGTGAGCAGAATGCATGAACCATATGTGTGCATTGAACACTGAAACTCTGTGCTTCCCCTGCAGGTGATACAGGCTTGCCATTCTTGTCCCAAAGCAATTGAAGTGGTGGTCAATGCCTATGAACACATCAGGTGGAACATAAAGTGGAGAAGAGCCATCCCGGATGATGACTTGGAGGTAAATAATCAATTTGTTTCCTATGGTTTTCACTACCAAGTATTGATAGACTGAAATTCAAGTATGGAAATTTCTAATAAAAATATTGTTTTTGAAAATATTTAAAAAATCTTTTCAAATATAATGAGAAAAGGGTTGTAAATTCAGGTTTATATATATTTGATAGAAAGTTTATAGCTTTATCAAACATACAACATTAAGAAGTCTCTCAGGGAATTTCTCTATTTAAGGTCAAGTTGAATAAAGAAAGAAAGGTGGAAGTATTACTTTCCATTAATTTAGATGAATTAAATAATAAGATTTGGGGTTGTTTATATAATATTTTAAACCAGGAAATTATAGTTTTTTTGTGTAGATCATTTCACCCAACTTTTTCTTCCTTTTAAAAATTGTTTCTTTTTAGTTATATATCATATTAGGATTAATTTTGAAATAATTATAAAAGCATGGAATATAATTTGCTATAATTCAGTCCCCAGTACTTCTCCTTTCTCTCTCCTTCACCTTTTTCTTTCCCTCTATTTTACTGATCCTTCTGCTATTTACTTATAGTTTTTTTTTTTTCAATTAGTGTCTTATGGGTATACATGATGGTGAGATTCACTGTGGTATATTCATATATGTATATAAGAAAATTAGGTCAGATTTATTCCACTATTCTTCCCTTATTCTGTCTCTCCCTCCATCTTAATCCCTTTCATCTAGTTACCAACCTTTCTTCTATTTTGATGGAATTCCTTCCCCTTTTTTCCTTCTCTTTCTTTCTTTATTCCCCCTTATTTTGGATTAGCTTTGGCATATCAGAGAATATATTAGACCTTTGACTTTTGGGATATGGCTTATTTCATTTAGCATGATAGTCTCCACTTCCATCCGTTTACCAGCAAATGCCATAATTTCATTCTTTTTTCTAGTTAAGTAATGCTCCATTGTATTTACATAACACATTTTCTTTCTCCATTCATCTATTGAAAGGCACCTAGTTTGGTTCCATAGTTTGGCCTTTGTGAACTGTGTTGCTATAAACATTAATGTGGCTGTCTTCCTATAGTATGCTGATTTAAAATATTTTGGATATATATTGAGGAGTGGGATAGCTGAGCATATGGTAGTTCTATTCCTAGTTTTTGAGAAGTCTCTGTACTGCTTTTCCAGAGTGGTTGCTCTAATTTGCAGTCCCACCAACAATGTACAAATGTACTTCTCTCCCAACATATTTGCTAACACATTACTATTTGTATTCTTGAGCATTGCCATTCTGACTGGAATGAGATCAAATCTCAATGTAGTTTTGGTTTGCATTTACCTAGAAATGTTGAACATTTTTTCATTTCTTCTTCTGAGAAGTGTCTGTTTAGTTATTTTATCCATTTATTAATTGGGATATTTGGGGTTTTCTTTGGTGTTAAGCTTTTGAGCTCTTTATATATTCTGGATATTAATGCCATATCTGAGGAGCAGGTGGCAAAGATCTTCTCCCATTCTGTAGGCTCTCTCTTCACACTCTTAATTGTTCTCTTTGCTGTGCAGAAGCTTTTTGATTTGACGCCATCCTGCTTATTGATTCTTGTTTTGTTTTTGTTTGGTTTTTTTCTTGTGCTTTAGGAATCTTGTTAAGGAACTCAGTGGGCCTACATTTTCTTCTAGCAATTTCAAAGTTTCTGGTCTAATTCCTGGGTCTTTGAACTACTTTTAGTTGAATTTTGGGTGAGAGGTAGGATTTAAGTTTCATTCTTCTGCATATGGATAACCAGTTTTCTTAGCACCATTTGTTAAAAAGGTTATCATTTCTCTACTGTGTTTTTGGCACCTTTGTCTAGCATCAGATAATTGTATTTATGTGGGTTTGTCTCTGTATCTTCTATTCTGCTCCATTGGTTTTTATGTGTGTTTTGGTGCCAGTACAGTGCTGTTTTTGTTACTGTAGCTCTGTAGTATAATTTGAGGTCTGATATTGTGATGCCTCCAACATTGCTTTTTTTTTTTTTTTTTTTTTTCGCTTACGATTGCTTTGGCTATTCTGAGTTTCTTATTTTTCCTAATGAATTTTAGAACTGCTTTTTCTAGTTCAGTGAAGAATGTATTTTGATGAGGATTGCGTTGAATCTGTATAATACTTTTGGTAGTATGGCCATTTTGAAAATATTAAGCCTGCCCATTCAAGAACATGGGAGGTCATTGCATCTTCTAAGTTCTTCCATTCCTTTCTTCAGTGTTTTATAGTTTTCATTGTAGAGGTCCTTCACATCTTTCATTGGCTTAATTCCCAAGTATTTTATTTTATGTTTTTTGAGGTTATTGTGAATGGGATAGATTTCCTAATTTTTTTTCCAGCAGATTCACTATTGTAGTATAGGCAAGTGATTAATTTATATATGTTGATCTTATATCCTGCTGTTTTACTAAATTTATTTACCAGCTCAAGAAATCTGGTGAAGTTTTTACAGTCTTCTAAATTTAGAATCATGTCATCGGCAAACAAAGACTTCTCCTTTCCTATTAGTATCCCCTTCATTTCCTTCACTTGCCTAATTGCTGTGTCTTGAGTTTCAAGGACTATATTGGAGTGGTAAGAGTAGGCATCCTTATCTTGTTCCTGGTTATAGAGGAAATGCTTTCAAGAAATGCTTTTTTATCCATTCAGTATGATATTGGCCCTAGGTTTGTTGTATATAGCCTTAGAATGTTGAAGTAAGTCCTCTCTGTCCCTAGTTTTTCTAGTGTTTTAAACATAAATGGGTGCTGCATTTTGTCAAATGCTTTTCTGAATCTATTGAGATAACCATGTGATTCTTATCCTTAAGACTATTTATGTGGTGGATTATGTGGTCTATTTATTAATTTATATGTCTTGAAGCAACCTTGCCTCCCTGGGATGAAACACAGTTGATCTTGGTGCACTTTTTTTTTCCTTTTCAAATTTTTATTAAGGGAAAGAGATTGATTTGCTGTTTTATAACAAATTTTCCTATTCACCCATTTAAACAAGTGGGGAATACTTTTAGATGTATATTGTGCACTACCTTTTAAATGTGTTTTTGTATGCAGTTTGCCAATATTTTATTAAGCATTTTTGCATCTATGTTCATCAAGTATACTGGCCTGAAGTGTTCTTTCTGGTTTTGGTATCAGGGTGATACTGGCTTCACAGAATGAATTCAACAGTGTTCCCTCCTTTTCTATTGAGGAGGACTGGTATTCATCTCCTTTACAGTTTTGGTAGAACTTAGCTGAGAATCCGCCTAGTCTTGGGTTTTTATTTGTTGGAAGGCTTTTGATAGCTGCTTCAATTTCATTACTTGATATTGATCTGTTTAAGTTTTCTATATCCTCATGGTTCAATTTGGGAGGGTAGGATGTCTCTAGGAATTTTTACATGTCTTTCAGATTTTCTAGCTTATTGGAGTATAAATTTTCAAAATACTTTCTGATGATACTCTGGATTTTAGTAGTGTCTGTGGATTATTTTACTAACTTTTAAATGCCTTGATGTAGTTATTGTTAGTCAGGAAATGGAGTATTACAAACAAGCTATGAATCATACAGAAAGCCCCTGGCAGAGCCAAGTTCACCTGTAGACTTATGTACTTTGCTGTCTCTATAAAGCAGTCCTTCCCCAGAGCACCCTGTCCCTGCTTTTAAAATCACAGACTGTCCTCAACACACAGAGAGGCATCAAGTATAGAGTGCAAAGTTCCCTGGACTTAGAGGTCGATGGCTTAGGTGTGCAATTGTTTTCTGCTACTTATTAAGCTCTTTTACTTTTAAAAGTTGCTTCACTTGACTGAGCTTCATTAATCCTCTACTCCCATTAAATAAATGAATCTAGAGGTCACACAAGACACATAAAGGACATGAAATAATATTAGATTAATCTGAAAAGATCCAGATAGCTCACGTAAGTATGTTTTCTCTCATTTCCTGGGTTCTGAGTTGTGCAGTATTATTTCCCCTCCTGGCTCTTTATGTACCTCCTTTTACCTCCTCATCTCAGCTTGATGTTTAATTTTGTCTCAACATCAGAGACCCTAGAAGGCTGCCCTCAGGTATAAAGTGGGGATTGAATGCATCACTGTTGATTTTTATTCATATAAACGGTGGGGCCTTTGTAACGTTAACCTGTCTTGCCTTCCTTTACAGAGATACTTTGATTTCTACCACTCTCTCTTCACCGTATGCTGCAACTCTCCAAGAACCCTCATGCATTTATCGAGATGTGCCATTCGACGAGCATTACACAACAGATGTCACAAAGCAATTCCTTTGCTTTCCCTCCCATTGTCATTGAAAAAGTACTTGCTTTTAGAGCCAGAGGGAATCATTTATTAAGCCTTATGAGACAGCAGTTCCCAATCCTAGATATTTAAGTGGACTCGCTGGGTAGACACAGTTTGCATAAATAAAATGGTACTTGGGTTGATTATAACACTTCAGGGATTTCAAAACACTTTAAAAACACTATGTCATTAATCCTGGAGTATCATGGTGAGGGGAAATAAACAAGGAAAGTTAAGGAATTTTCAAAGACAAGAATGTGTTCACAAGGTACTGGTATGACAGTAACAGCTGATAGGTATAGCGCTCTTACTAGGTGCCGGACATTATGTTAAACTTTGCATATATTATCTCATCAGGGACCCATGTTTTCTTACAACCATTCTCACTCTCTACCTTATCAGTAATAAGTTTACATTACCATATAGTTCGCAACATAGCAGGTTTTGTGATGGGCCTCTTAAACTTGGCGTGTTCCTTCATGACCATTCAGCAGTAATTACTGTCACTAGTTTTGCAAACTCCTATTCCCCACACCAGGCTCCTCAATTTTAGTGAAGAACGCACACGAGCACAGGCAAAACAGGGAGATCTTTGAGTCTGATTAGAAATGAGAAGGGAAGACCAGTCCACTTAATAGTCAGGAATGGCCATTTCAATATACACCCATTAAGCGAGACTGGAGATGCAGAGATGAGTCAATGGGACTCCTGCTCTCCAGGATCTCACCATTTAGCTTGAGGATCCGGACCTATGAGCAGGCAACTGCTATAGAAGAGATCGGGGCAAGAGTACAGGTGCAGACTCATGTTTATTGCTTTCAGAGTTGTGTTTCTGACATGAAGTGTGTGATTTTTCTTTGAAGCATGATAATAAAGAGTGAAGGGATTGTGTAAAGTAGAGGGATCTTCTGCTGTGGTTAGGGTAAAAGTATTTGAGTGTCCCTGAACATCCAGATATTGTCTTATTTTAGTTTCCTATTTAGTACCTTCCTGGACTCTTTGAGAAAAATAATACCCACTCAGTGGCTCCTGTATGTAGGACAAGGAAGGTCAGGAAAGTGGGCTATTGATAGCAAGGGTGTAAGGGGAAAGACTTGGTCAGCTATTTTGCTCTTTTTATATAATAGACTGACACGTGGAGTGTTTTAGCTAGAAGATAAGGAGCTCTTTGCTAGTGACAGCTGGTTTCAGGAAGTAAATAGAGTTTTTGAAAATGGTACAAGTTTGAGAAACTTGGAAAGATAAGTGTGTTAATCAGACTGGCTAGAAAGAGGAACGTAGATAATTCACCTCTAGGTCTCTTGGTTTATGAGGCTAACTTTGCTTCACTTTTTTTGTTCTTGCTAGTCACTTTTAGATAAGTTTATTGCGTCTTAGCTTTGCTTTTTTTTTTATAGGTTAAAGCAGAAGTAATTAAGTGCAAACAAATATATTTGCCAGTTGCAAGCAGGTGTCTTTTATTTGTGTGGTCCTCCATCATATATAACTTTGTATGCTTGTGTGTTGAATAGAGATGTGGTCAAATATTCCACTAGACTACCAGTAGGCTGTGCTTCTGAACTGGGATTCTCCTACCCAGTTGTGCTGTGGAAGAAAAACCATAGGTAGATATAATAATCTTTTTGAAATATTAGTTCTACTCAACTAACTTAGGAGAATATGAGCTCTCTATCATAGGACAGAATGCTGAATTTGCATGAATTATTCATATAAAACATGAACTTTCAAAAAGTAGTATACTTGTAGCGAGCGGTATAGAACACACCGAGGAACATTTGAAGGATTGCAAGCTCTCCTCCATTGTCGGGAATGTTCTGGCAGAAAAATCTGTGACATACTGACTTAGACAAGTAAGCTGATGCTGAGGAGGAGGGGAGGTGGTGTTCCTCCTATGGGGAGATAGTAATTTTTCCAGCTAGCTTGTGTGTGTTTAAACATCTATATCAGTCTAGCATAGAATATGTGAATACTCATTTTGAAATGTTTATTTGTGGACTTAAAGTGAGGTTTTTTTTTCTTCATTTTTGAACTTTACAGAACTTAAATAAAGCTCTTCTCTTTCCTTTCCTCTTTGAGCGCTGTTTATTTACTGATAAAACTCATCTTCCTAACACGGTGTTGACTTTTCAGCAGTGACACTGAAGAACTTTACATATTTCATTGCTTCCTTCAACATTTAAAAAGAAAAAGAGAATGAAGAGTTGTGCCCGTGAATGAATAATGCTTTCCGAAGAAAGTAAAGGGTAAAGATGGTGGAAAAGCAAGTAAAACCCAGGCTAGTGCTACAGGGAAAAGAGTGTTTTAATAATAATGAACAAATTGTGCTGACTCACTCTCCTCCACTTCTCACCTCTTCTGTTGTCCTGGGGTTTTTCATTTCCCCTCATTCTCACCATCCTCTCAACCCTGGGCAAAGCAACAGAAGAAATTACATCCTCATGACGCCTGTGTTGCTTTCTGGGAGAACTTCCTGTAAATAGACATCTAACCTCCTGAAGAAAAAGCCATCAATCTTCTGTAAGTTACACGCCAAATAGAGGCTATCATGTGAAGAAAAGACCACCTGTCTGGTTTTCTCACTTCTCTGGATCTAGTCAGACTCCTGTTTTATTTTTTAATCACCTAGTGTTACATCTCCACTTTGTCCTTCCATCCTGAACCCAGTGGGTTCTGATAAAAACGCAGCAGTGGAAAGTCAATGGTAGTGCTCAGAAAAGCAACAAACCATTTGCAGTGGGTTATCAGTGTTGGAAAAGACAGCTGAGCCTGATATTTGTATTACTCATCTGATTGGGAAGAACTCACAAAAGTCCTAAGTTCATACACTTTCAAAACTTTTTAAAAAATGACTCTTGACTATTCACTCATTTTCTTTGAAATGCAAACATCGTACTTAATGCCTGGGAGGAATTCCTCATCATTTTCTATAAGAGGATAAACAGGTGCATTAGTTAGATGTTCAGTGTCTTTCTATCTGGGCTCATAGACCAGCTCCCACTCGCATTTGACCTATAATTTAGGGGAAATGATATAATTATTCCCTTCCTTCACTTCCACATTTGTAAAATGGGAATAATAGTGGCTCCCATCTCATTTCACATTTATGGGATTATTTCAAGGGTTAAATTAATACATTAAAACACATAGAACTGAGCATGACAGTTAAGCATTTTACTATTGTCATTGTCACAATCATTATAATTTATGGATAGGTTTCTACCAGTGGGGTATTATATCCTTAGAGTGATGCTGTCACTGTGAATGAGACACAAAGGAGTTCTGTTCACTTTGGGAAATGAAGCAGGCAAGCTCCTATCATGCTGGGATAGGAACTTGCCTGCCACTGTCCCACCAATGACCCACCAATGACCACTGTCATTGGTCATTGTCTCACCAATGACCACTGGGAATCAATGGGTAAGCAAGATGAACCAGGTCCCTGACCTTAGGCTTTTTTGAGATGAGGAGTGAGGGGTGGAAATAGCATTGATGTGGAGGATTAGGAAACAAACCAAATGGATTCATTTTTGAAAGTTTTCCCTTTGTAAGTGGGTTTATCAAGGAGGCAATGACTCCTTTTATTATTTTATGAAGGCTGTGGGGGATCAATTGAAAATTTACCACATGGACAGAGAGGATTGTTCAGCTGTTTCCTTCTTCAATGGGGAAAAGAGTAGGAGATCACCATACAGTGGAGGAGTATGGATTAGCAATGAGGATCCCGATGGTCACGGTTATTGCACATCAGAATGAATGAACAGGGACGGTTGGAGAATTTCATTCATTGATCCTTTTGCTTGCAAGAATTTATACAGTACTACTACACATACAGTTCTGGATTAAATGGGGATGGAAGGAGGGGAGTGTTTTTACCAAGTTTTTGCAAGATTCACTTTTAGTAGCTTCAATGTTTTTATTGATTAGTTTTTATGAGAAGCAAGAATTAAAAAATATATATATTGTTTCTTTTTATTAGATACTATCTCACTGAACTATTTTTTCCTATAGCCTGAAATAAAATGGTTGATTAAAAAATGATTTTCAAAAATCTATATTTCTTTAATAAATTGCCTTCTTCATATTTGGTCACATCTGCCACCAAAAAGAAGCAATGCATAAAACATGCAAAACCATTCTCCAAAAAGTGGCTGTTTTTCTCTCTCTTTTTAGCAACATGAAGTGGATTAGGTGTGATTAAGTGTGTTCATTACTAATTGGTTTTCTCAGATAGAGGTATGCCTCAGTGATATTGGATAACAGCTATGCAAATGTATGCTAATCCAGCCAAGGAAATGAAGTAGTGATGGCATTTGGTACTTTGTAAATTAAAGATGCTCCTGGATTAGTTTTTAGTGCTTATCAAGCAGGAAAGAGCAGACAAAACAGAACTCTCATTGTGGGACGTGTAAGGCAATCTTCCACACAGATGATAGAAGACTCAGGGGCCCAGACCCTGTCTGCTCAGAGACGCGAGGGAGACACTCATTCCGTGTCCTGCTTCAGACTTGGGAGATCCAGAAAGTCAGTATTTGATTAACAAATGGTGGATACCAAGTGGAAATTATAATGTATTTTATGGAGGCAACAAGATGTAGAAACTGAGCTCTCCTTCTCTCTATCCTTCTCCAGGTCATGGCAGGATCAATTCCCTGGACTGCAACAACTGGATTGCCTACCCACTGGGTTCATCCAATAGGGAGATTAGCAGGACATTGGGACCCTTTCTGGCTCCCTCTCTGCTGGGCCCCTTGCTGGTGGCTGGATTTTTGACAAGGCCATACCTTGTGTCAAAAGTCTCTCTCCTAAGCTACCATTCTCCCTGGCTTATGGTAACTGCTTCCTCCATCAAATCCTTCAGACCTAGGGATAGTTAAGCTTTCTGTTTGGTTGCTTTTGTCCCTGTTCCAAGTGCCTTGCCGTCCTTCCTTGGTGTTTTTTTTTTTCTATGCTACCTACACTTCTATAAACAGTCCTTAATTAAATTCCCTCTAATCATCTCTATTGAGTGTATGTTGCTTCTCTGATGGGGATCCTGACAGGTGCATATGCATA